GAATTTCGTATATGCCCTTTCTAAACAGTTAAATATCGTTTTTGCCCGACCTAAACTCTAAATATCATATTTGTCTTTCTTAATGTTTTTTAATATCATATATACCCAAATCTATTTTTTTGATAATTTTTATTGATTTATAATCATTTTTACCATTTTAAAATCATTAAAACTAAAAACAACAACCAAATGGACAATATTGCCCTTCCTTTACAAATCATAGGTTTAATTCATTTAATTCCTTTTCCAAAAACAAAATTTTGCCTCACGATTATAAATCAATTGAACCTTAAAACTAAATTGTACTATGGTCATCGTCTTCCTCACGATTGTCGCCTTCCTCACCGATCCATCACCCTCCTCCGCCTCCACCTTATGTGGCAGCCACAATGTTTCAGATTGAAACTTATACTCTCTTCCGTTTGATACTACAGGATCAAATGGTTGTAAATTATTTGCTTCCATGGGTTCTCGAATCCACCATCGGAGCTCCTTCGTGTAAAACAGCTGAAATTGAACTCAAGCTTCTTCTCTGGTTAAACTCTTCTTGTACGAATATGGGCACTAACAATCTCTCAATCCCGTGAATTAACCCATCTGGTCTGACTACTTCATCGGGACAAATTACTTTAGCTGAACCAACAACTATTTTCTCGCCGGAGTTTTCTCGGATTAACAGCAAAAGATTCTCAGCTTCCTCAACACACAGTTTTTCATACGTTACTGATGCCAAATCCTCCTTCGGCCACTCCTTCAACTCGACCCGAGACAGTATGATATGAAAGAGAAACAGATTATGCAGAGATTTGAGATTCCCAGGTTCAAGTAAGAACCGTTTGAACTTAGGATCTAAATGTCTCTCCAAAGCTGCTTCAAAATAGTGATGTTATGACGAGAAACTGTTTCCTTAAGGGTCTGTAGCAGAAGGTCTTTCTCAACGAGCTCAGTGTAGTGCGAATCCAGAAGCACGAGTTTGAATTGATCTGGGTAGAGGTAGATTAGGTTTTTTTTTTTTTTTTTTTGAAACGGCAAATAATTATATTTTTTTCTACTCTCCTTGGGATTGAACCCAAGACCTCCTAGTTAGTTGTTAGTATTAAACCTCCATGTTAGCCAAGTGGGCTAGCCCCAACTTGTAGCTAGATTAGGTGTGTTGTTGAGGTATCTCAATTGCACTGATGGATGCAGGTGGTATGAGATACAATATGAAGAAGAAGATCCCCAATGCACTGTAGATCTGAAAATCCATGGTGTTAATTTGTGAAAATATAACGATTGAACACAACAAAGGGGAATAGGAGGCTGCTCGTATGTCTTAAGAGGCTGCCATAGGGAACACCTGATTTGTTGTATTGCAATTTAGAACTAAGGGCAATATTGTCCATTTGATTGTTGTTTTTAGCTTTAATGATTTGAAAATGGTAAAAAAGTTTATAAATCAATAAAAATTATCAAAAATATAGATTTGGGTATATATGATATTAAAAAACATTAAGAAGGGCAAATATAATATTTAAAGTTTAGGCCGGACAAATACGATATTTAGCTGTTTAGCAAGGACATATACGAAATTCTGCCTAAAATGTATTTAAAAATTTAAGTTTCTTAAAAAGGTTATAAATTCAAAAGTAGACCGAAATAATTGAATTATCTGATTTGATCAAAAAGACCAAAAATGTTAATATCGACCAAAATGGACAAATGACAAAAAAATTATGTGTTACGAGAATAAAACAACATTTAATTATATGCAAACATTTTGTTAAGGATTTCATGATTGACAAACATTATCTAAAATCTCAAACAAATTAAAAAAACAAATTTTAGAGTTGGAAATCTAGATTCATGAGCAATTTAGATCTAAAATGAAAAACGAATGAATTTCTCCAAAAGAGTTGATTGATTACAGTTCCGATACCACTTTCATAGTATAGAACTCTTAAGTCAATTTATGTCAAAGTGAAAGAAAAGAAAACAAGATGTAAATAATTCCGTTTAAGATGAATTCGACCAGGAATGAAGTTTTGGTCACAATTGATAGCTCTAATAACTTTGCGTTATAAGCATGAATAATGATACAAGAAAACCAAACCTACAACAATATATAGACACATCTAAAAAGATACGTACACCAGGCAATAATGTGTAGAAACATCCCATGTATAATAAAAGGATGGACCAAAATGGTTGAAGTGTCAGATTTGATCAAAAAGACCAAATTTGTGAATATCGATCAAAAGGGTCAAATGAATAAAAATTATGTGTTAGGAAAATAAAATCACATTTATTTACTTGAGAAAATGTTGTTAAGAAGTTCATGAATTGAAAAGGAGAACAAATGGTTGAATTTTGATTTTTAGTAAAAAAAACCAAAATTGAGAAAATGTACAAATTTCTGATATCAAATGACCAATATATTTGTATTGGGAGCATGAAACCATATTTACTTACATTTGAAAGTTGTTTTTTTTTAAAATTTTTTTTATTGTAAAGTTCGGTCCAAAATGATCGAATTGCTAGATTTCTTAAAAAGTATCAAAAGCTGTCAAAATTGGGGTAAACGGTAAAATGACCTATAATTTTGTTTCTGGAACACAAGCATAATTATTTACATATGGAAACTTTTATAAAATGTTCATAAATTGAAAAGGAGACCAAAATAGTAATTTCCAACATAAAACTATATATATATATATATATATATATATATATATATATATATACAAACACACACGTTTTAAATTCAGTCAGTTCTTCGTCAGATTTAGCATCAGATTTTGACGGATTCATTTGTCGCTATTACGTCACTATATTAGGGTTTCCATTTTTTTACTGTTATGTCGGTTTTAGCTACATAAAATTTTCATCATTAATATTCGTAGGGAAATCTTGTTTTTTCTAATAGTGGATGCATGCCTTTGGAATTTTGGATAAAATTAAAAACAAATAATAAATGTATGTACATTAGTAGTGGGTTTTATGATAGAGGGATGGCAATAATTTGTGTTTTTATGAATTTTTCTTTTTTTTTCATTATTGTTGAATACGTAATCCGATTTATCAATAAACATAGTCTAATATATAAAGTTAATAAATTCAGGTAATTCGGATATTGAGAATTTCTAATTAAACCAATAACAATTTTCGTATCTGCTTTATGAAAACTGTGGTTAATAAATTGATGTTATTTATTTAACATTACTTAATAATATTGTCTTCTTAAAGGCAAGAGCATGATAATATCATTTGTTTTGAATGGTTATCATTCATTTGGAATGTGTTAAAAAACTACACTTGCATACATATAATAGAAATATTTGGAATGAAGATAATTAGTTTTTTTTTTCAAACCTTATGTTGGTTCATTACTTTAATGTTTTTATGGTTAAACTGAATGACTTTATTAATTTAACGTTATATTGTTATGGAATTATGGATTTTGTATGGATTTGATTTTTGACTTTATTAATTTAATGTTATATTGTTATGGAATTATGGATTTTGTATGGATTTGATTTTTCATAAATTATGAAGATATCATAGCCATTTAAAATATTTGTAGCCACCATAGAGGGTCTTTGACATTGAGAAATTGTTAGAAAAGTCTTAATATTTTTGAAAAAATTATACTGCAGTCCTATTTTTTTTTTTTTGAACAGAAAAATCTCAATTATTTCATTTTGGCTTAAATTAACAAAAAATAATATTTTTTTTCTTTTAACTGGAAATGACGTATAATCGTGTAAAATCAAATAATCAGGACTTTTTTGGTCAAATTAAAAATAATAATTTGGGACCAAAGTATATCTTCTTCGAAAATAATAAGACTTTTCTGATAATTTGGTTTGACGGTAGTTATTTATTTAAATTATTATTTAATATTAGAAATGAATTTTCGTCTTTAGAAGTTGAAGGATTTACTTATTTAAATAATTAATTATTTTTAGAGACAAACTTTTGTCTCTAAAACTAATTAAATATTAAAATTATTATTTAGTTATAGAGACAAAACTTTGTGGTAAATAGAAACCATTTTCAACGACGGGGCTATTGCCAGGACACTATCTCGGATGCAATGCAGTCGTCCCAATTGATTTTTATCAACAACAATGATACTTTTGGAGACCGCTTTTGTCTTCTCTAAAATAAACTTTTCTTGAAGTGCTGGTTATATATTAATTCTTAAATCAAGTATCAAAGGAAATCTATAGGGAAGTATATAATCATGAGATGATAGTTTCCTAAAATGAATGAAATTATGACAAAATAATTTCAACTAACTACCTCCTTAGTGAAGAAAATGAAGAGTTTTTTAAAAAGAGAAATTAAATTACCTCTCACCTTTTATGCTTACAATTATTCGTACCCACTAAAATTATGACAAATCATCATTCAATTTTATTGTATTTGAAATATTCCTAATATAGCTTTAATGAGTTAGTTACAAAAATATGAAATGATGACACTTGTCATATTTTTATTGGGTGGGAACATTTGTAGACATAAGAAGTAGGATGCAATTTAATTTCTTTTTTAAAAAACGATAGCTTTGTGTTTTTTTTATTATTTTTATTATTTTGTTTTTGAATGGTAATAAAATAGAAATATATAAAAAGGAGCTAGGGTGGAGCTAGTAAAATACAAAGTAAGACTACAAAACAACATAAAAGACATACGGACAAAAGATACAAAGAAAAAACTAAACCAAGCCCAACATAGCAAAGTACAAATGAATCAATCTTCAACATGGCAACCAACTTTGCTAGAAAACCCAATGAAAAGCAGCCAAACCCACCAAACAAAACAAAACCCAATAAATAACATATCTAGCAACATCAATTCAGTTATAAGATTTGTAACCCAAGAAACAAAGACACGCACCAAACACACGCAATCGATGACCAGATAAACACCAATGCAAGGACCCACCCAAAACCCTACAACCAAGAACGACCCCAAATCCAAACATCATCAAGAACGCGTGTAGTCCCAACATGCAACTAGGCAACAACATTCAATCTTGTAAGTTCACGATCTTCAAGGGTGTTAATTATGAGTGTTGTCTCGCCTAGAAGTTGGGCTGCCTCATAGACACTTGCATACCTTTTCTCAATTGCATTTGAGTTGCTTTTCAATTCTATGACATCGGGTAAGTTAGAGAGACACGCAGCCAGTATGCCAGCGATCAGTGATGATATTGTTTCAAATAGTCTCTCTTGGTTGATCTGGTCAATGTCAGCGTGGTAGTCAAGCAGTATTGTTTCTGTGACACAAGACATTGCATTAGAACAAATAAATTTGTATCTGGATATATCATCGGTAATTTCCACCTCATTGACCATGTTTTTACTGGTATCCATCAACCATTCAAGAATATGTCGTACTGTATTTCCTTGAGGAGCACGTCGTTGGAGCTTGTTTCCTAACCAACTCTCGAAGACTTCGACATCTACCAACAACGTTTTTGCCGCCTTTTGAATAGTTGCATGGTCATCAGTAGGGTTGAGGCTTTCCTCCACAAGTTTGACGTATACCATACCTTCCTTCAAACCATGCATCAAGCGATCAACTAAGTTTTGTTGGATGTTAGTGAGAGAGATGGCTATGCTTGCAAGGGTTACCAATGATAAGCTCCAACAAATGAGTGGTTCATGTTCATCTAAAACTAAACGCCGAACTTGATGAATTTTGTAATACTTTTCAACTTCTCCGAAACCTTCAGATTCCACAAGAAGCTTCATCAGATTCTTTGGTTGTCGTTTTTCAGCTTTCTTGATCCAGTGGTCGTAGGAGTTGGAAATCCTTTTTAATGTTCCCTCAGCAATCTCCGTGTCATCTTCGAGTTGCAAAACATAATTGCTAAAATTTTCATTTGTTTGGTGGTGCTGCTCCGGGTTATTTTGCCAACACAATACCGAATGCGTTATTTGCCAACAGAATACGAAATAGATGATTAATTAACTTCGACATTAACCACTTCCAAAACTTCCAACAGTAAAAGATACAGAACACTATGAAATATGGGATGATGGTTATCATGTTGCATGCCGCTACACTTGTCTTTTGAAGTCCTACACAAAAGGTAAGGACAAGCACATATAACTGGAAAAGAATCTTGAATTTGCGACTATATGATATGAATGGTATGCCACTCCCTTTCAAATCATATATGGTCCGGGTCCAGTAACTCTCCACATTAAAAACCTTCATTTTTTTCCACATCCATTTCACGGACAGCTTATAGCTTAATGTTGCAAAAGATCTACAAAGTGGGGCAATGGTACCCACCAAGGATCCGATAAACTGTGTTATTAGAATCACCAACATGGACCACTTATAAGCTGACTTAAAGTCCATCCAATATTCAACAGCGATAAGCATAAGCCAAGCGTGTAAGAGAGTGCTGATAACCGATAATACCCCCGAAGCACAGCTTGTTACAGAACAAGCTGTCAGGAACTGGGGATGGCTGGTTTCTGCCATGATCCAGTACTTTTTAACTTGCTTCTTAAGCTTCTCAACAGTTGATCTTCCTTGTTGAAGCTCTTGCTCGTTTAAAGCTGACTCATGAGCTGCTTGGTACTTCAGTTCAAGTATCTGTTTGCACTTTAGAATGGCTAAAGATGTACATGCATGTATTACCAGCACCATCAAAAGTACAACCACATAAATGATTGCTATGAACTTACAGTACTTTTTTACATTGCCAGTTTTTATTTCAATGCAAACATTCACAACCATGGTGATTACTATAACACCCAAACCTATGATGTTTGCAATAAGTGCCTTGTTGCTCATGGATGCTAGCGCAGGCAATAAGTTGGCCATCATGGCACACATAAACGCCATGTTTCCAAGTTTTGTAAATTGGTCTACAACACCTGGCATTGGACTGCTCAAATCAACTGGTAGCTTGGTTGCAACTCCTAGTGCAGAAAAAGAAGCAATATTCATAGTGAAATATTTATTTGGAAACCAAAATTTTTTTGTCCTCAACCCGTGCACTAAATCTGCCAGCGGTGGCAGGATACAAAAGAGTGATGCAACGGCGATATAAATCCCAATCATCACCATAGGTTCACTGAACCTTTCTTCCATATCTGATTTCTCTAGTAACACGTTGAAAGAACTTATCAAAGCATTTGAAGCATTAGTGTATGACTTCAGTTGCTCAATAAGATTCTTGAGAGATGGAGGATTTTCTAAGTCAGAATCCATAATAATGTTCTTCCCTAGGATAGAAAATGATTGTTTGAGATCAATTGAAGTTGGGTGTAAGAAGACGGTTTAAATATTATCAAGTGACGTTCTGTATTGGAAGAGCCTGATATTGTCTAATTTAACAGGTTCTGTATCTTGAAGGTTTATGAATGGCTTTTACAAAACAAAAAATGCACTCGTCAATTAATTTTTCAGCTACTTCCATCCAAGACCGATGCCACGCTATTGTATCCACCCATCTTCACATAAATATGTTTAGTTCATTAGGTTCAATTGTGGAATATCAGTAAGAAATCGTAGGCAGCTTCCTTCCCAGAATGATATATTAGTTAATTGGGACCACTGTCTTGTTTCCTTCCTAGTATGATACATTAATTGGGATGATCTTTTTGGTGAATGGAAGATGCATGGCACAACATGCATGGCTTGATACAGAATTTTAAGATGAGGATTATTACAAGTCGCAACTTATGGTTTTTTTTCTCCATTAGTCTTATCTATCCTCGATGTGGGTAGGGGGATTCAGTGTAATTTTATAGAAGAAAACGTGGGCTATGCATGTGTGTATGAGAGATGATGTCAAAAAATCTACAGTGAAAGGTGGTGTTATTATACAGAGCAATCCAAAGTACAAGCATGTGGGTGCTTTGTGTGTACGTGGGTAACAGCATGGAGGATGCATGGTTTCTTTAATATGTAAGTAAAGCATGTGCCGTTTCATGCATATGTTCTAGTGAAAGAGGAAGCATGGGCTCATTTATTTTAAAAATAGGGGAAGTAATGCAACAAGTACTTTCGGGTCATCTATTTCAAAAATAGGGGAAGCACTACTTTGGAGATAACATGGTCAAAATAAAAGCGTGGGCTATAATAACTTCTTATTTCAAAGGAAGGTGCTATGGTCAAGAAAAAGTTTGCATACGAAAAACGTAAACATGTATAAATATGTATGTTTAATGTACAAAAACCTTTTTTTTCCTATCATTCTTTATTTCTTAATGTGTTTCTCCACCACAAAAAACCTTTTTTTTCCATATCTGAATGGTCTTGTAACGAGGTGAAAGACTTTATCAAATCATGTGAAGCATTAGTGTATGACCTCAGTTGCTCAATAAGATTTTGGAGAGACGGATGATCATCTTTGTCAGGACCCATCCATAACTCTGTTCTTTAGGATAGAAAATGATTGTTAGAGGTCAAGTGAAGTTGGGTGTAGGAAGACGATTTAAATATTATCAACTGAAGTTGTGCATAGGAGTAGCAGTATATTGTTGAATTTAACTGGTTACGTTTCTTCAAATTTATGAATGGTTTTTATAAAACAAAAACCCTCTTCAATTAAATTTTCAGCCACTTTCGTCGATGGCACCCTAGTATATCCATGAATCTTCACATATTTTTTTTGTTTGCACATTAGGTTCAATTGCATTTTTGGTGATATCCATGGATCCCCTTATAAATAATTTCGTTTGTAATGTTTGTTGAGGACTCTACAATAAATTTGCCGCAGTGGTATTTCAAACATTGGAATTTGAATTTTCAGCCATCTTGTATTGTGTGGTAAGTCATAATGATGCAATTAGACATCGCTTTTAAACGGACCAAAGTGTAAAAATTTACAACCATTTCTTTTACCGTTGATCGTTTTAATTTCCGACTATTTGTATTGATTCCTTGTTTCTTTGATTAATAATTGTTCTCTATTGAACATATATATATATATATATATATATATATATATATATATATATATATATATATATATATATATATATATATATTAACAGCTAGACTTTAATAAAACTGAATAGCAAAATGCTGGAGTTACAAGGTACAATACAAGGGGTTGTTAGCCCATGCCTCCCATAACAAATCTCTACCAAATTTGGCTCTACTCTTAGGCTATAAAAACTCCAAAACCTTAACCTCATAAGCTAAAGTATTTGGTCTCTTCACCTTGCCTTTGAAAACTAGATCATTCCTATACGTCCAGATGATCCATAAGAATGCCTTTGATGTCACTTCAAGCATTTCTAGGGCCTGGAGGCCATAGTAAAGGAATAATTTAATCCCAAAAGATCGTCGAATGAATTATTCATAACGGAAAGATCTTTCCACCAATTGAGAAGGTGACCACGTATCTCTTTTGCAGTGGAGCAATTGTTAAAAATATGAACCTTGTTTTCCTCAAAAGCATGCAAAGCGGACAACATATGATTGGAATGTTAACCCCCCTCGGAGCAAGGTTGACTCTGGTGGACAATCTCCCAAGACACACTCGCCAAGTGAAAACGTTGATCTTCCTGGGAACCAGCTTGCACCTGATGGTGGGTAAGTTAGTGCTCTCCAATAACTTATTTTCAATTTCCTTCCTTAAAGATGAGACAGTGAACTCTCCTCCCCCATTTAGGCTCCAGCACCAGTTACTCATGTTCGAGTTCACTCCGGTGTCACCATATCTATAAAAAGAGGTTGATTAAATCTATATTTAGATGCTCCAAGTCGATATTAATTTTGTTGATTCTACCCCAAACGGTGGACCCGTTATAGCTAGAAATCGACACTCCCAACCCTCCTAGACCGTCGTAAATACATTTAATCACTCTTTTCCAAATCGAGTTCGTATTAACCCGAAACCGCCACCACCATTTCGATAAGAGAGCAAGTTTGACAGCTCTTAAACTCCCAATTCCCAATCCTCCGAGTTCTTTGGATTTCATCGTTTTTTCCCATGCAATGCAAGTTATGATGTTGTTACCCGAAGTTTTTCCCCAAAGAAAACCGTTTCGGATACTTTTGAGCTTTACTAAGACTAATTTGGGAGCTTTGTACATCGAAAAGAGAAAAGTACCAAGGCTAACAAGGACAGATGTAACAAGCGTCAACCGGCCTCCAATAGAGAGGGTTCTCGCTTTCCACATCGAAAGTTTATTGTTGAATTTATCGATAAGCGGAATCCAAGAAGACACTCTTTCCGACTTTCCTCCCATCGTTATTCCAAGGTAAGATAAGGGAAGCTCACCTACAAGACATTTGTACCACCTAGCCATGGAAGAGACTTCTATTGGGGGGGGGGGGACACCAATACCTATTAACTTGCTTTTTTGAAGATTGACTTTTAAGCCAGAAGCAAGGTGGAAACATGTAAGGATTCTTTTAAGATTTTCGGCATTTTCCCTAGACCATTTGTCTAAGAAAAGTGCATCATGCGCATATTGGAAAAGCAAAATACTAGGACCGGAGGTAGGCATCACAATCCCCTCGAAGATATTGTTATCAGTGGCCATATCCAATGCCACTTTGAGACCCTCAACGGCGATGATGTAAAGAAAAGGGGAAAGAGGATCACCTTGTTGTATGTATTTTTCCATGAAGAACTCCTTCGTAGGAGAACCGTTACCAACACCGAGACCTTGGAAGAAGAGAGAATAGCCCTTATCCAAGTTCTCCATGTTGCCCCGAAACCCATGTGAGTCATGACATCTTCCATGTAACTCTAACTAATCAAGTCAAAAGCTTTGTCAAAGTCAGCTTTGAACAAAAGAACTTTTTTCTTCCTCTTAGTAGCCCATGAAATAATTACATTGACTACCAAAGGACCATCCATGATGTTCCTTCCACTAACATAAGCCGATTGCTCGCAGCTCACCACAGAACCAATAACCTTTTTGAGTCTACTAGCAAAACATTTGGAAATAATTTTGGTGATGCACCTAATAATATTAATCATTCTGTATTCAGTGAGGTTGAAAGGATCTTTGGATTTAGGGATAAGAGAGATGAAAGAGGTGTTGCTCCCTGAGTTTAGGTCCTTATGTTGTTCGAAAAACTTGACCGCTTCTACCACATCATCCCCAATAATGTCCCAAAAAGTCTTTACGAACTTGAATGAGAACCCATCCGGTCCTGGACATTTTTCATTCCCGCAACCCCACACAGAACTTTTAATCTCATCCATAGCGAAAGGTTCTTCCATGAAAGTACGATCATGGTCCTCTAAAATATGAAACTTAGAGCTTGTGAACCGTGGTCTACGTGTAACGTTTTCTTTGAACTTGTTTTTAAAGAAGTTAAAAACCTCATTTTTAATTATATCTGGATTAGAGATCCACACCCCGTTTATGTTTAAGCCATTTCTGCGAGAATTCTTTATATTCATGTTCACCAAGCTGTGAAAGAAAAATGAATTTTAATTGTCACAACTAGAAATTCTGATGCTTTGTAAACACTTAACAAGGATAACGTTGTAACTGAAACTTGAAAAACATGTATGATGCTTAATCAATGATAACAAGGTTTCATCAAATACTCAATACAAACATTCAAATAGTCAACAAAGGTTGGAAACCCTAAAGAAAATCCCGGTTTAAGTCCATATGGACTAGGATTTCCTTATTGGGCCTAATGGACCAATAAGCTTCCAACTTGACTACTTTGGGCTTAGGACCCTTAAATGGACCCTAATTAGACCCACTTTCATAAAACTTAACCTTTTTGGGCCTTATAGGCTTAAAATGGGCTAGTTTATCTTAATGGGCCTTATTGGGCCATAACAAACCTAATTAGCCCTAATGAGCCATAAAACTCATTCTTTGATGTATATTGGGCTGTGAATTACTCTAAAGGCCCAATGGGCCGAAAATCATCAAATGGGCCTCATATTTTCGGACTCAAGCACTGAAGGCCCAAACCACCTCTCTCCTTTCCCCCTCTCGGCCCAAATAATGAAAAAAAAGAAAAAAAAAGAGGGAATTAGAGGTTGACGTTGGAGGTGCCACCTCCATATTACACAACAAATAATAAAGCCTTTGCATCCCATACTTCCATGCAAGCTTGTATGATCCAACATGCATCAAGGCCTCTTTCTCTCTCTCTTCTTCTTATCTCTCGGTCGAGATCACAACACACACACACACACATTTCACCAACTTCTTTCAACCTCACTTACTCTAGAAAGTCTTCATCTCCTTCTCAAATTTTCGAAGATCTAAGGTGGATCAAGAAGGTTTCCACCAAAAACTCATCTTCCCTTGGTAAGTCCTTACACCTCTAAGTTGTATAACTTCATTTTTATGCTAAGATCATTCATTCTAAGCATTTTGTGATCATACTCTTAGAAAACCTCCATAAGTTCGAGATCTATTCAAGGAGGGCTTGCTAAAGCCGAAAATAACATCAAGCTATTCCATTTCTCTTCAAAACCGAACCCACAAACTCAAGGTGAGTTCATACCCCTCTTTTTTCGGTTTTCATAAGTTTTATGGGGGAGAATACAAGTAAAATGTGTAGATCTATGTGTATGTGTATGTTATGTGTGATTTCATGTGTTTATGTGGTAAATATGTAACAAAAAGGAAAGAAATCTCGAGATCTATGGCTCAAGGAAGAATATAAACATGATCTATGATATATTACACTAAACAAGTCAAGAAAAATTACCCTCTAAGGTTATAATAAACATATTGCAACATAAAACACATTTATGGGCTATATTTGTCAAATAAACAAAAGTTGGGTTGAAAGTTGTCATTCACGGTTTTCTTAAGGACCAAAAGAGTCAAAACAGTTAAAATAAATGTTTTTATGAATATTATGCTCTTCAAAGGACTAGAAATGTAATTTGTAGCCTAATGGGCCAATTTTTGGGCTTTTCGGCCCATAGGCCCAAAAATTGCGAAAAAGATAGTTTTCAAGGGATTGAAATGGTAAATTTCTCAAAACAGGGGGTAAAAGGGGTAAACAAAACTATTTCAGGGATTAAAATGATTTTGTTTCCTAACAAGGATAAAAAATGTAAAGTTTTTGGATTTTGGGCCAAAATTGTAAAAGTTGCGAAAAGATTGGACTTACACTGAACAACTCTTTACTGGAAGGGCTGAAACTGCCAAAGAGTAAATTCTTAGCTAAAATCATCACTTAAACAAGTCTATGGGTCAAAAATGACAAGAAAATGGTTTAAGGGCCTAAAATGTCTTTTTTTATATAAGGGACTAAAATTGTCATTTTTATTAAAGAAGGGCTGAAAAGGCCAAACCAATATTTTGAGTCAATTATTTTTGACTAAACTGCAAAAATGGTCCTTGTGGTTTGCCGATTTCTTTGGGTAAGGTCCAAAAAAAGGTTTATTAGCAAAAAAGGTCCTTATTTGGTGGTTTAGTTGTGGTTTTGGTCCCTATTTCGTTAACTTTAACATTTGGCTGTTAACTTTTTTTAAATGACAATTTTACCCTTAGGGACCATTTCTGCAGTTGTCTCTTTTTACCAAACTACAAGGACCATTTTTGCAATTTTCTTTTTTATTTTATTGAAATATTATACATTAATTCATCTTCATTTTAATTTTATTAAATTTTAATACATTAATTCTTTTTTTTTAATTTCATTTTTATTGAATTATTTTTTAATTGATTATTATATATTAATTAATTTTATTTTCAATATATAATATTCATATATAAATAAATATTATAATATTATATTATTAATTTATTTTAATTAATTTTTTTTTATTTTTTTATTGGATTATTTTTTAATTTCTTTTTTATTAGATTAAATTTACCATAAAAATAAATAAAAAGGCCATTCGTTTTTTTTATTGGATTATAAATTTAGTTTTAATGTGTAATATTATTTTTTTCAAATTTTATTGGCTCCACCACAAAGTCATTAAAATGCGTAAAAGCGCTGCACCTCATCGTTAAAAATCGTCAGGACCACCGCCAATCACCTTCATCGAATTTTCGATGGAAACACTACCATCCTATTCACATTTCGTCGGAATCCTCCGGATTTGCCACTAAGTCGGTCGTTTTTTTTGTTACAACCAATACCGTGTTAACCACCAGGAGGTCCGATCTAAACACCCTTGGTCAGTTCCTCCATTCGTTGCTTTCTACCACATTGCACCGCCACATCATCTTGTCGGAAATCGTCGATCATTGTCTATAATCTATCATTCTCAACCAAAACTACAAGAATTGACTACCCACACTGTCGCCAATGGCGACAATGTTAGATATAGGGTTTTCAAACCACCAGATCTACCGCTAGATCTTTTCAAGTAGTACAGACTTGAAGCTTCGATGTTATAAGGTTGTGTGTAACATCCATAAAATTTCAATAAAATTTAAACTTTTTCAAAACAACCCTTTCTCTAAAAAGTGTTTACGAAACCATTGTGTCCAAAACATTATACAAAATTAGAGTCATTTACAACATAGTTTTCAAAACATTTTTATTATCAAAGTATCCCAGAAATCATAAGTCCCCAAAACATGAGGATGTGTACGATCACGCCTTCACCTTGCCACAATCTACTGAAGTACCTGAAACCATAAACCAAAATTGTAAGCACGAAGCTTAATGAGTTCCCCCAAAGTACCCACATACAAACAATAACACATATACAAAACAACATACTATGGGTCCAATCAACCATCGGGTTGGAATACCCCAGGTCCTCAACTTCAAAAGAGTAACTAAACTCAAGTGGTGGCAAATATAAAAGATTCTGACGGATTGTGAAGAGGTTGTCGCAGGTGACTACTGGATAGCGGCGTTGGGTGAAACATGTTGGTAGTGTTTCCGTCGGACCTCCGATGAAGGTGATTAGCGGTGGTCCCGACGATTTTCGACAGTGAGATGCGGTGCTTTTGCGTATTCTGAAGACTTTATGGTAGGACCAATAAATTAAAAAGAATTAATATTATACATTTAAATAAATTAACGATCTACTAAAATATTATTTATTATATATAGAATATAATAAATTAAATGTAATATCCAATAAAAAAAATCTAATGATTTTTTTTAGATAATCCAATAATTTTTTTTTAAAAATAGTTAAAAGAAATTAGTAATATAATAATGTAATATTTATTAATATATAAATATTATATATTAAAAATAAAATTAATTGATATATAATAATCAGATAAAAAAATTAATCCAAGAAAATTAAAATTAAAAAAAGAATTAATATATAATAATTCAATAGATTTAAACACAAGACTCACATAAATAAATCCAATACTATTCGAGTAATCAAGGCAAATCAAAATCATTCGTTGTGATGGTATAACAATTCGAAACAATTATATGATATTATGTTATCGGAAAACATCGGGTTTTTCGAGGAGACCAACGCCATTCACTTGTGCTTTTCAATAACTAACATGCAAAGTTTCTCGTTTATACACGTTTTGAAATCATTCATGCATAAACCTAGGATCTTCACACTTTGTTATAAACAATTGTCTTTTCAGAAAATATCGGATTTTCTGGGTTTTATAAACTTACAAAACATTTTCAAAACAACCCTGCTTATGAACTCACCAACATTCCATATGTTGACGTTTTTCAAAATAACTTGTATTGTCAGGTAACAGGTAAGCCGAGAAGTAATACTAAGTATGTTAGGGTGCTATGCTTTTGAAAACTTTCAAACAATTTATGCTATGGATATGTAATGTTTAAACAATGTACTTGATGTGAACAATGTCAGTTGTAATGTATTAATGCATGGTGAAGTTTATGTTATGTTTCATGTATATTCATTGTGATGATATTCAATTTGAGTCACGCGAGCCCTCGGACGTTTCCGCCGTCTGGTTCGGGGGTGTGACATTAATCCCCTTCAAGCACCCATTTTCACCTTTCTTTTTGCCTTAAGTCAAGCAATCTGCTATTTTCTAAATATTGAATTTTTAGAATAGTATCTGATCTTTCTTTGAAAGACACGTCATCAAACCCAATGACTTCCGCTAAGACATCCAAAGCAACAACTTTGGTCTTGAGAGTGTGAACTTCCTCCTCCTACTTTTTGTTGATAACAAAACGCCGTGCTTTTATGTTCTTTTTAAGGATTCTCAACTTCCTCGACAACCTCTCAATCTTAGAGAAAGCCGTTAACCCAGTAGTAGGCGTTAACTAAGAAGCCTTGACTACGTCTTAAAGATCGTCGTCTAAGAACTAGGAAGAAAAGAACCGGAAAGGCAATGGACCGAAGTCGGGGCTGTTGGTGTCCAACAATACGGGATAATGATCTGAGTGTAACCGCGGCAGGGCGAGAGTGTTTGAATTAGGCCACCAATGAAAAAACTTGTTGGAGACTAGGTACAAATCAAGTTTGCTGAACTTTGAGCCCTCCTTATTCATCCATGTGTACTTCCTCCCACCAAGGTGGAGTTCAACGAGACCACATGTATTAATGAAAGAGTTAAAAACATGAGCACCTGAGATCGAAAGAGAAGAACCTTTCCTTTCCTTCATGGACCTGACTTCGTTAAAATCGCCACACATAATCCAAATCCTCTCTGAATCCGCAACCATCAAGTAAGAGAGGTGATCCCATAGGGGAACCTTTTCTTGATGATCTTGTGGGGCATAAATATTGATCAAACCACATTCCAATATGACCACTTTCCAGGTTCCCAAGATCGCAAGGAACCTTCTACTTCTTATAATTGAGCTAATATAGACTTAGGTTCAAATGAGAACAATTATATAAATGAAAACGCGAGAACAAATCTGGGCCATATATTTTTTTGCTGCAAAACACTCCCACATACCGGTAATATTCATGTGTGAATATTAACCATGACCACTGAGATACCTATTTCTTTTTGCTGCAAAACCCCCAGCGTACCGACGTGACGGTGGAAGGCAATATATATATATATATATATATATATATATTATATATATATATATATATATATATATATATATATATATATATATATATATATATATATATATATATAAAGTAAATGAAAAATGCAAAATACATATTTCAAAATTTGATAAAATGACATCTGGTCAGTTGAATGAAAGAACGATATATGACACAATGGATCTTTGTTTATATATATATATATATATATATATATATATATATATATATATATATATATATATATATATATATATATATATATATATGTGTGTGTGTGTGTGTGTGTGTGTGTGTATTAGGTTATAACTCGTGTATTAGACGGATTGAGAACTTAGGATGTAAAAGATAATACATAATAAATAACTTCAAATATAAAACAAAATATGTAATAAATATTTTTTTCTTTTATAATAAAGTGAACTTTAAAATAATAATCGATAACTTACAAAAAATTCAAGAGATGTTTGATAAACCTAAACATCGTTGACAAAGCTGTATTTTAACCTAACATCATTTTTAGCTACAATAGCAAGAAAGATGAAGTGTACAAATAAGAAATCTGGAATCTTTGATTTTTAATAATAATGTAATGTAAGATGATGACTACATTTCTGGAAATTTTCATTGTTCCAAGTCAAGTCAAGCCAAGACATTCTATTTCCTTCACCACTTCCAAGATTAATATAAACCTAAAATACATAAATGAAAATATAGCTTCTTTGGGTACAAAATTTCACCACATTCAACCAAACTAAATACCTAAAAGAGGGTGATCATTCTTTTCCCAAAAAATAAAACCAAATGAAAATTGTATTCAACAAATTGCTCAATGTAACACCCTATTCCGAATAGTTTCCTAATTCGGGGTCGTGAACTGAAGATCAAATATCAGTAAAGTGGCAATTCGGGATTTTATGAAAATTGGATTTTAGTTCGGGAAGTTTTAATACAAGCAGGAGTTGATGGAAGTGCAGATCTTCTCGTTAACTTTCGGTGGATATAATGATCGTCGAAATCGGACGTAGAACGATGAAGTGATGGCCATAGGAAGATTGTGTTTTGTGGACCTTAGCTGTGTACGCAGGGCATACGTAGAGTACGCATGGCGTATGTGGCTCAGAGGCAAACCCAAATTTCTAGGGTTTTCACCCTAATTAAACCTCATTATAGCCTCATTTGGACACGTTTAACCAGCCTCCACCTCTTCTTGTCCCAGAAAACGAAACCTTAGAGTGATTTGGTGAGTTTTGAGCTTGAAGAGTGTTTGTTGGTGGTTTGTGAAGGAGAAAAAAGAAGAGGAACACTTGATGGGATTGCTTGAGCTTGTGGATCTAGGATCATCTCCACATTTTCAAGCTTGTCGATATAAGAAACTTACATCTTTATGCTCTTATATGTTAGATCTAGTTCATGGAGCATTTTGTGAACTTTTTGAGTACTTTGTGTTAAAGGAGAGCTTTTGATCTACTCTAGAGGAAATGGATGCTAGATCTTAGATTTAATCAGTCCTCATGTTCATAAAAATGTTAACTTTATGGAGTATTTGGACCCATGCATGTGTTAATACCTCTGTTAAGCTTGTTTGAGCTCTTGAGCCCCATTAAGCCATGCATATATGTAAAGTTGCCAACTTTACATGATAAGTCAACTTTAGTAATTAGATCTGTGAGTTTTTCGGAAAAGCTAGACCAGTTAAGTGCTTAATGGAGTAGGGTGGCACACTGGGGAGTACGTTGGGCGTACCCAGTTGGTACTCTCCTCGTACTAGCCTAGAATGAGTACACTAATAGTACTAGCTGAGTACGCCCCGCGTACTCAGCAGATGGGCCTTGGGCTTGACGTTCTCGGTATTGGGCTAATGTTTTGGCTTTCATTGTTTTGGCCTTGTTGGATCATCATACTTCTGTCTTGGATATTGGAATAACATGTTGGGCTTCCTTGGATTTTAGGCCCATGATGGGTTTCAGGCCCAAGTTGGTAGATTGGGACATATTGGGCTTTTGTTGTTGTTGGTTTGGACATCGAATTTTTGTGCCAAGTGAAGAAAGGGTAAAATAGACTTTTTCATGGGTATTGGGTAATTGGACTAGGTTTCCAGTTATGGGTTGAGAACCAATTATTTATTTGGCATTATTTTGATGATGTTAGCGCAGGGATTTTCTAGATCGACAATCTGAGCTGTTATCGGCGATATTCAACAGCGTGAGGTGAGTTTCCTCACTGTGTTTAGCAGCTTGAAGGTACCAATGTTGGCCCGTGGTTTATTATGTTAGGATGTTAGATGTATGCGTGACTCTGGCATGTGTTATGTGCTTGTATGATTACTAGGCGGGGCCCGATGACCATTGTGTACGTTATCTTCGTGATTATTGCATATGTTATGTGTTTGCATGTTTACCCGGCGGAGTCCGATTCTGGGCGGGGCCTGATGTCGGGAAAGGGCCCGATGACCATTCGGTGTGCTATTTATCTTTGTGATTATTGCATGTCTATGTGTTTATATGCTTGTATGTTTATATGTACACCGAGAGGGGCTCGATGTCGGGCGAGGCCTGCTGACTGACAGATCTGTATACCGAGTAGGGCTCAATGTCAGGCAGGGCCTGATGACGGGCGGGGCCCACGATACGTTTCTTATGTATGGTATGAGGTATTTGGGGTAACTCACTAAGCTTTGTTATTACGGTTTTATGGTTTTATTTTCAGGTGCTACAGGTTCGAAAGGGAAGGGCCCGACTTGATCGCAACACATCCACCCTTGTTTCCGCATGATGATGATTTTGGTATTGTATTCTGATAATTGTTTTCTCATGAAATACTTTTGAATAATTAGAAAAAGGATAATGAATGTTTGGCCAAATGATAATTAGTGCTTTGATCGAATTAAAAATGAAAATTTTACCCCGTAGTTTCTTGTATGTTACAAGTTGGTATCAGAGCCTTGGTTTGAGTGATTCAGGCACACTCTCGGGTATGTCTGAACTCAAACTAAGGAATTAATAATCTTTTGAAGGAAAATGAGTTTCTAAAAGGATTTTGTAAAAAGAATAAATTTCTAAAAGGATTTTTTAAAGACAAAAAGGGGTGTGATGCGTTCACTCGGTCGAGATCAAGTGATTCCTAAAATACCCATACATGTTTGTTATGATTATGTTTTGAGAATTGCATGCTAGGAAAAGGCTAGGGATACTTTCATGAATTGCATGATAGATTGGCCTGATATGTGATGCCTTGTAGCCTAGGAAGCATTACAGGCTATGCTAGATTGGGAATGTCTACTGCTAAAAGTAATTGCTAGGTGTTTGCTTTAAAAATTGTATACGGTTAGGATTATATAGCCCTAGAATGATTGATTTGTCCTTATTTCCTGTTCCTCGTTTGATTGTCGTCCTAGGGTAGACTCTTTTATTCGACAGTCTATTTGATCCTCTATTGAGTATAATTTGCATGCATAAGGCAATCAACAGGGTGAGTGGAAGTTCCTAGCATGAGTTGTAGTATGTGAGTTTGAATGTTCTTTGGTTATTCTATGGAATATAGTGCTACTTCACGAATGCTTCTTGTTTGTGCTTTGTGGAACTCTTCAACGATGTGATTTAGCTATTAAGTGAATATGTTAAGTCACATGTGACAAAGGTTGAATAATCTCAGAGTGATGGATTTGACCCTATTACGCAACTCTCGTTTGAGTCTAACCGTTGTAGGGATGAGTCTTGTACTTGAAGGATTATCTAAGCTTTGTTGAATGTGATTGTATTCATGAGATGGTTAACTAACACTATAGGGAGTTCTTCAGCAGTTGTAGGCAGGGTGAGGTCGGAAACCTAGGAAAGCCTAGGCAGTGCTTTAGTGAGTTTAGTTGCGCTGTTTAGCGAGTACTTGGTGTATCAGTTTGAGAAGGTGACCTGGAGGATTCAGGATGATTCTTGAGGAAAGTATTGATATGTGTAGAAGGTTGTATTAGGCTCGTACTACTGAAAGCACAGGATCCATACACGAATCGAGGAGAGTCACGGAGAGTCTAGGGAGCGTGTTTGATAAGGATTCGTGGTTATGTTCCTGTCATTTGCATGGTTATTTTGGAGAATGGTGATGAGCACTTAGGAAGGAGGTTTAGCTCAGGTTCAGGCTCAGGGGCAGGTATCGAGCCGATCGATGAGAGGATGTGGGAGTTCATCTCGTTAGAGATTACCCGCAGTGTTTTGGAGCAGACTCTTGTGATCTTTGGTACAATCAAGGACGGGATTCTGGAGATTTTGGATGAGCGTCTGGGCACATTCTGCATTGAGATTATGGCTATTGTTGGACCCCACACTCTTTTTTTCCGGGAGATCAGTGCTTGTGGAGCTCCCGAGTTCTTTGGGGAGAAGGACCCCATTGCCAAGAGGAGATGGTTAGCGGATATGGCTAACGCTTTCTGGACAAGTTTCTGTCCCGAGGAGTCGAACGTCAGATTTGCCTCCTGTGTTATGAAAGACACAGCCTGAGATTGGTAGGAGGAGGTAGACTTTGCTTTGGGAGGTGATGGCGTGGAGACGATGAATTAGGATGATTTTGTGACCCAGTTTAGGGCCGAGTTTGCACCAGCCTTTGA